ATTTATGTTTGAAATGATTTAATGCAGGAGACTTAAAAAAATATCAAATTTCATCACTTAAAAATCAACTGTTACAGTAATTACGAGAAACCATATACCTTTGAAACGCTGTTCCTTCTATATTTATGTTGTTCATGAATTGGAGAGTAGACGCTTGATCTGCTGCACTAAATTCTTCCAGAATGTTTTTGTCCTATTATCATTAATCGTAATTTCTTAAAATCAAAACAAAGAATAATTAGAATTAACTTTAAAAAAGAAAGAATTTGAGAGACGTTATTCATAGTTATAAATGTCCCCAAAAGAGCAAAAATACACTCGATAGTTGGAACACCAAAACGGATTGATTTTAGTCACATCAACACATAAAGAAGCCATACAATACTAATAGTCATTACCCATCTAATTGAAAGTTTACCATACTTAAACTATGGTGATCTTCTACTATTTAGAGAGCTAAAACAAGACATTGCATATATACAGCTTACCTTGCTGATGATCATCGTTAGAAGTTCAAAACCTAAGCAAATGGCGAGTACAGGGAAATGGTCTCCTGCATCATTCTTCTTCAGAGCTTTCTGTACAGAATGGGTTAAGTTCATAAATAACAGTTCATCATCAGAGGGGAGGTCATTGTCAACTATAAACCAGTGTATAACCATCACTGATATACAGATTGAAAACTCACTTACAACTAACATGCATCTCCAGCCCTTGCTATTTTTAAACCCAAATTTAAATTTAGGTAAAAAAATCCTAAAAACCTTTGCCAATGCAAAATACTCATTCTCATACCATATCATGGAAGACTCAAATTTTTACACAAATCAATGAAGACTCAAACTTTTACTAAAATCACCAAGTTTTTTAAAAATCTAATAGTCATATTCTATCCTCCTTTAAATTTAGATTTGTCCATTGGAGTGCTTTGTATCAATTAAACTTTTTATTTAAATGTTGACTAAAATTTGAGGTTGAAGATGCTAACTTTTACTGAATTTGTTTCAGCCGCAAATATGCACAAATTTACAACCTCAATATATGTTATCCATTGCTAATTTTTGTCCAAAATAAAAAATAAAAATTTTTTCCAGTTACCTTGAAAATTGCCTCAACAACCTGAAAGTAGAGCCCACTTTTAGCCCACCCGCCAGTGAACAGGACACCATTCACAAGATTGAGCTTCTGTAATACAACTATAATCTGTTACCAATTGACATGATCAAGGATGCAAAATATATTCTCTTATCAACCCAAACTTTACTTGGAAACATAATTTTTCTAAATAAATTGTCGATTACTTTGTAAAGAATCTCTGGAGGCTCGTTGTAGATAAGAGGAATCACCCTAGCACCGGCCGATTCGACGAACTTCACATAGGATGCCGCGATATACGACGCGTTGGTCGCATTGTTGAGTCGACCGGAGGCGCCATCGCCAGGATGGCTCACAATTCCGATGACCGGACGGTAATTGAGCTTCGGGTCAGGTGCGGGACAACTCGGAGCGGACACAGTGGGTAAGAGAATTGTCGATTGAGCCTTTGCGGAAGTGAGTTCCCTAGAGAGAGCTATTAAGAAAGGGATCCAGAGGTAATTCAACATATCAGAAGAGGAGGAGAGAGAAGATGGGGTGGAGGGTGGGGGAGAGGGAGTGGACGGAGAGTCAGTGAGATTGGTGGTGATTTTAGAGGAGGGGAGAGAAGGTGGTCGTGGTGGTGGTGACATCGGTGGGGATTGACGTGAATTTGGAGTTGGGGAGGGGGAGGAGAGAGATTGGGGTTGGGGTGGTCATCAGAGGGAGGTGGATATGGTGTTTTGACATGGGAGTGGTGAGAGATAGAGAGAGAGAGAGAGAGGGGGGGTTTGAAATGAGGGTGGCCGACGCCGGCTGTGTGCGAGTCCGTACAGTCTGGAGAATTCGGATTGACGACGAAGTTTGAAGAAGGGACGAGTTTGATTTGAAGTCTGACGTAAGTATTTGTTATTGATTGTTCAACCATGAGAACTAATGGCTGACTTTTCGTCTGTGGGAACAACTGATATGAATGAAGCCCGCTTAAGTTAATTAGGTGGATGTACGCGTCCGTGCACGCCAATTATTTTGACTGTTAGTAAATTAAGTACGCCACAATTGTCGACCAAGAAGATTATACACTTAGGGAGCCAGAGTAGAATAGAAAATTCTTGAATCGAAACGGGACGAGAATATTTATTTATTTAATTAATTAATCAATTTATATTTATCCTCAACACCTACCATAATACCCAGTAATAGGCTCCATTTTTTTATTATTCAAGTTGTATTTGTCGTGCAGTACGTATCAAATGATTTTGGGTAATATTATTGAAACTTAATTTACTGTGATTTTTGGATTTATTATAGATTCTATCAAACATTAGAATTTAGTGTTGATCTAATAATTCCTATGAAGTCACATCATTATGTCAAAAAATTAGGTCAAAGTTTGAAGTCCAAATAGTATTACTCAATAATTTTTATTAACAATAATGCTATATTGATCAAATTTTAAGATTAAATTTAGATCTTAAATGACATGATAATATATTATTTTAAATTTTTATTGGGGCCCAAATAATATGACACTAAATAAAGAAGTCCAAGATAACTGTCATGTTATTAATTTTATTGAAAATATCCAGACTCATCCTTTTCTATCTAACATTTATTAATTTTTAGTGTCATTCCGAATTTTTTTTTCTTGTAGCATGACTTGAATTTTCTATCAACTTGAACATACATAATTTATATTCAAAAGTATATGAGTAATTAATTCTTCTTAGAAAAATCTCAAAAAACTTATATTTATCAACAATGGCTAATGCATGTCAACCCAGTGAGTGATCCAATCATAAAAGTTATCTCAAGAACTAAAATTGACTATTATGTTATAGAAAAATTTTATCATTTGAGAGAAAGAGATACAATTGATAGATTGTCCTTAGGTATCAAATATTTTCCTAATAAAATATATAAAATATTTAGGAGAAAGTGTTTCAAAAAACAAAGAACCCTCAATAAGAAATCTCTTTCAAAGGCTATCTCAAGTTACGTACAACACCTACAGAGAGAGGGTGTGCAATATTTGGTCATTGTAGGACTGCATAGATATCCAATGTTTGAAGAGTTTCATCAGCATTTCTGGCGGTAATCTTACTTTTGCTTAATGTATATACCTTTATTTGAAAATGTATCATTGATTTACACCTCAACAAAATATTTGTGTATGTGTAGGTGAGAGAGAGAGAGAGAGAGAGATCAGAGAAAGAGAGCTGAATTGGCTTGAGGTGTAAGATATGTAGTCCAAAACTTGTGATGATCAATCATACCCTAAAAATATTATTACATATGCATTCTTACTAAACTTTTAATGATCAAGACTTTTATTACTAACAATAGATGAATACTAATCAAAATGTAATGCAAGCCTTCGGCTCGGGCCTGTCCAAATTGCAAGTCTAAAAGGTCCGAGAAGTTAGAATATTTGAGCATTTGATAAGACCCAAAAACTTGGCCAACAAACTTCTCACCTGTTTTATTATGAGTTGGAGTTATGAAACTCCAAGAATTGTACAATAGTCATACTTCCTCACTTGGCGATAACTCCCAATAATTACCATTGTATTTTGGGATTAAATAGTCAATGTATGTGTAACTGTCTAATAAAACAATTAAAAAATAAATAAATTAGACCATTTTTCTTTATATGGATATGGTTATATATTACATAATGATTATTGAATTTTATGGGTTTCACTTGTTCTCTTGTTAGTGGACGGTTACACAAAGTGTCTGTTGATGTGGGATAACTGTTATGCTCCAGAATTTTCTCGTATTTTGCATTGTATGAACTGAATTGCATAAGGTTCAAAAAAAAAATGAATTGTATTGCATTTAGAAACTGTAACGTTTAACTTCAGTATGTAATTAATAGATGAATGCCTACTATTTCTTTAACCAATAGGTTACTAAAAGATGTTATTATTGTCTTTTTATCTTTTTAAGGATAGTATTATTAATTAATTTTTTTTGACAATTATTGACATTCGAAAGTAGTATATATAATATTAGATCTATTCAAATATTTGGATTTTGTGAATTTGGATATGAACTATGTACCTACAAACATATACAAACATATGATGCAATTTGGTGATTATTTAATAAAATTGAGTAAAAATTTATGTGTTAAATGTTAAAATAATCTACAATCAACTTATTCAGATTAGAATTGATATCTATTGTAATGGATCCATATATGCACTGTGAAAAATAAAATTTGTTAGACAATTAAATCGGATTCAGATCACATTGTTCAAATCGTATTTGGATTGAATTTATATTGTTTGGAAATAATATAACCATCTCACCTCATTTACTCATCTTACTTCAAACTATTAAGTTCACTCATCTATATCTACCAGACTAGTTACTAAACTCACCCCATCTATATTTACTAATTAAAAATTAAATTCATTCAATTTTATTTCAACCTACTATATAGGCAATGATCATGAATTTATTTTGGTATATTATTTTGGTGCAAAAAATTTCAGAAGTAGAATAAAAATTAATTAAAAAGATATTAATTATTTTTAAAATATTAATCGAAATATATCAAAATATCTTAAAACACTTCAAAATATTTCAAAGATATTGGTAAAAATTTATCAAAATATCTTAAAACACCTCGAAATAATATAGATAATCCCAGAACATTGAAATTTCGCTTAAATTATTATTTTTGTTTTGGTTTCTTTAACATATATTTAATAGTTTAATTAAATAGGTATAAATGAGGTAAACTTAGTAACTAATGAGGTAAGTATAGATAGGGGTGTCCATGGGTGGGGTTATCCACGGGGGTCCCATTACCCAACCTAAAAAAATAAGTTCGAAACCTGATAGTTAGTCGGCTTAAACTCGAATTCAATATTCTTAAAAAGAGGGCTTGAGCCTGTCCCCTAACCCATTACTCATCCCGAAACCCAGCCCAATATCCCACCAACAAAATCTAGTTAAAACCCAGCCCAAGAACCTGCATGCCCAACCAGCCCACACAGTTCGCCTACCTTCATTTGAAAAAAAGTTAGACGAGTAGATCATTGAATTTGTTACTTTAAAATAAGTCTTCTAATGTTGAAATTTGAAGTTTTAGAAATTTGGATATTATAAATAATATATTATTTTATTTTTCATGTAAGTTGTGCAAATGATAGATAGATGGGTAGGTGTCAATTTAATTGAGATGCGTTTATTCTATTGTGATGCACCATATTCATAAATAAAATTATTTATTATTTATTTTTTTTTTATCTATTTTTACTTACTTTTAATTCAAAAATATAATTTACAAAAATATTCACGAAGTTGTATATAAAAAAAGTCTGTCAGTAGGCTCGCTTGGCCCACCTAGAAAGAAGGCTTTCTTACAAGTCTGCCCAATAGGCTCACAAGTTGGGTTGCGAGTAGCTTACCCCTACCGGAAGTCCGGCTCACTCGATAACTCACTTGGATATCAGCTTGGGATTACCCTATCTAGGCCCAATCCAAAAAAAAATTTGTGAGAGGTGAATTTAGTAGTTTAAAATAAGAGAATTAAATGGAGTGAAAAAATAGATTTAAGGAATGAGAATAGTCCCACCCAATTACATATATTTTTTTTTGGAGGTTTAGTCAAATAACAATTATATCCTATCATGTATAATAATATCACAGTCTTCCCCTATCAATAGCGTCCATCTTTTTTTTTTCCTAACAGAATTACAAAATGAGTGTAATACCCTACCCCTTTTATGAAACAGTGATTTGGATGCCTTTTAGATAACCTCAAACATCACAGCTGCACTGCCACCACCACAACCCATAACCAAGAACACAACCCCATGCGATTCCACTACCACTGCAGCACCAAGCCACCGCCCAGACTCACAGCCAATGCCCAAGTCATTGTTGCACCCACTCGCGCAACCAACGTCACATCGCTGCAAATTGCACACACACAAAAATGTCAAGGCAAATGCATGTAGAATGACACCACCACTATCGACAACACTTCAAAACCACCACCACATACCAACAACAAATCAAACCACCGCCCATACCAAAGCCCCCTATAAACCATCATCACCATTGCACCGTCATCACCATACCACCGTTGCATCATCGCCAAATATTGTCACCTCCACTGTACCAGCAGCCTCAAGCCCAAAATACATCCTAAGAGCATCTCCAACCCAGTCTCAATTTCTTCTCTCTTAGCTATTTTAACTAGACAAATACAAAAAACACTCTCCAACCCACCCTCTATCCTATTCTCTATTTCCCATTTCACCCAAATAACTCTCTAAATGTAGAGAGTCATTTACTCTCTCTACCTCTTTCTCTCTATCTCTCTCAATATATATGGTGTATTCCTTTTAAATTATTAGAAGTTAATGAAAGTCTTATGAAGTAGTTATCTAAAATAAAGAGTGTGGTTGAAGTGAATTTATAAAAGTGACTAGTTAAAGTAGAGAATGTAATATTTAAATATATTTTATCTAGTTATTTTGGAGAGCTGGATTGGAGATGCTCTAACAAACTCCAATCAAACTTCCAAGCACTCATTTTAACTAGGTTACAAGACCCTAATTTTTTTGGATATAACATTCCCAAAAAAGATTTTTAACGTATAGCAATCATATTGCCTATGTCTGTATATATATATATATATATATACCTACAGAGAGAGAGAATTCCACAAGGTGCTTCGCATAAGTAGGGGTTGTTGGAACATAACTTTGATACTACTTGTTGGAACATAACTCTGATATCAATTGTTGGTTTGCACAACTAATAATTAACACAAATAATACTTATTGAGAAAAAAAAAGAATTCAATGATAGGAAAACAATAAAAATATGACACAAAGATATAACGTAGTTCGATATAGCATATCCACTTTAGTATACCGTACCTATATTCGCGAATCAAGAATTTATATCGATATATTATTCACTGAAATCTGATCATCTGGTAACTGATTAAATAATACACATCCTTATTTATAGGGATAAAATACTGTAACCCAAACCTGTTCAGATATAACTTAATCTTAATGTTTCCTATTACATGCCTAACATTCCTATTCATCGTATTAAAACTCTTCAAATATAATCATATTCCATATAAGATTCTCACATTGATTATCCAATAAACTCTAATTCATGACAATTAGAGATTTTGAATCAAATTCCAACAGTCTCTCTTAAACCAAACTCTTCAAATTTGGTCATGCCCAAGATCGGGTTTAGCACCATTAATTTTGATCCACCAATTTTTTTACACCCCATGCAAACCTGCTCTTGTTCAAGTCATATGTGCATTCCTGTTTCACCAGTCTTACCAGTTCTTAGGAGGTTTCAACAGTCAATGTTTCACCATTCAAAGGTAAAAACTTAGTAACTTGTAACCTATGAGACTCCAAATCATTACTATTGAGTTTATGTCAGTCAAATAACTCCCAAACTATTGGAATACCGCGACTTCAACTCTAAGAGCCCAAAAACTTGAAGAAACATCTTCAACACATCACGTATGGTAATTCTTGAAATCCAAACAATCAGGAAGTAACTTAGTTTTCTGTTTGGTTTCATACGAACTTTAAATTTTTTTCTTGTGGATTTAAACAAAAATATATATAAACTAATTTTTCAAGATTATGTCCTTAATGTACGTAGGACAAAATCAATCTTCATACCATGTTGTACACACATGGCAAGGGAGTCTTCTTCAACATGAACATCAACTTGATTATTGTATCGTCAATAACTTACTTTGATTGTTACACCAGGATTATCAATTTAGCTCTGACTGTTCTACTAAGATCATCAATCTAACTCTGATTGTTGTACTAGGATCATCAATCTAGCTCTGACTTGTTGCAGTAGGAGTGTCAATCTGACTCTGATTATTCTATCATGATCATCAATTTAGCACTAATTGTTGCACAAGGAGTACCAATCTAGCTCTGATGCCACTTGTTGGTACATAACTCTAATATCATTTTTTGGAACATAACTCTGATATCACTTATTAATTTTGCATAGCGGATAATTAATATAAATAATACTTATTGAAAAAAAAGAATTCAACGAGGAAAACAATAAAAATGTGATACAAGATATAACATGGTTCGATATAGCATACTCATCTTGGTATACTGTCACGCTTCAAATTTTTTTTATTTTTTTAAAAAAAAATGCCCAGACGTGATTAAGGAATAAAACCACACATAACTTACAATAACATTCCTTGTATTATTATATTCAGCATACAATTACATAATCCTCACTCAATCAGTTAAAATATTCTTAATACAACATAAAGAGAAATAATAAAAACAATCTCTATCCATCGTCCTTTCAACTTATTCTCCTGTTTGACTTCATATTTCTGAAAAATGTTAGATAGGGATGAAGTTATCAGCTTATTAGGATAACATATCAATCATATTAATCTGTCAATTTTCTGGTCCATGCATTAACCACTTCCGGAGAAAATTTTGAAGTCTTGCACCCTAGGGAACCCAATGCCCTTCTTGCTTTTCTGGAATGCCATACCAGAAATTTTGTGGTGCCACACAGGCTACCACGACAACCAATATTACTAACCAATGAACCTAAGAACTAGTACGAATTCTATGAATCCTCGCAAGGACCATCCAACTAATAACCCTCTGCCCTCGATTATGTGCCTCTATATTAATTTCATCAAAATCATAAAATAAAGTCATATCGTAGTCAGACCCAATAGCAAGTAAAAAAGTAAACATTAAACAGAAAAAAAAAATATTTTATATGCAATTTGATTTCACCAGATAATTTGAGTCTCAATATAATATGTGCATAATCACGATTTATTTGAAAAATTCAATTTTGACTCCATGATTAAAACGATATAATATGCATTCTATAATTAAATATAGATTTGGTATGAAGTTCCCAAATATGCATGAAATACATCAATGATAATAAAAGATAAAAAAAACCCTACCTCTGACTTGACCTCTACTCGATACCATGTATTGTGATAAAATAATTAAAATAATATTTTAGAATAACAATAGGTAATAAGAGCTTAGTTAAGCTAAATTGTTTTTGGAATAACTAACAAAAAAATAATAATATTTAAATTTAATTCAAAAATATTTAATGAGAATCAACTTTAAGTAACTTGAACCTATAAAATTATTAAATAATAACTAAAAAAATCTTATCTAAAATTTTGATCATAATCACAAATTTTTAGGTCAACTAAATTTGGACTCTTTTTATTTTTTTCCTTCCTTCCCCCTCTGTCTCTATCTCCCTTTCTCTCTCTTTTCCTTTCCTTCTCCGCTGTGCTGTTCGAGTGGCCTAGGCTTGGCAATTTATTGCCAACGCCTTGCCCTCCTTATATCATGGCTGATGCCATTCTCTTACCTCATGTGGACAGCTATCTACTTATTTGTCATTCTTTATTTGCCATTTTCTTACCTCATGTGGACTGATGCCATTTTCTTACCTCATGTGAACAGCTGTCTACTTATTTGTCATTCTTTATTTGCCATTTTCTTACCTCATGTGGACAGTTGTCCACTTATAAGCATATTCATTCCTGATTATGAAATTTGACCTAAATTATAGGTATTTGACTCGTTTTCGCACGAAGAATCTATATTTGAGATTCATTTGTTTATAAAAAAAATAAATCTCAATTATATAGAATCATACTTAAAAATAATTTCATCCTCGAAACTTGATACTAACCTTGAGAGCTAAAAAAAATAGATATATCTTGTACACATATCTGTTTCTAGTTCCCACGTGGCTCCTTTAATAGGATGATGTTGTCATAGCACTTTTACGAGTGATATAATCTTGCTACGTAATACCTGCTCTTTGGTATCAAAAATTTACATAGGTTGCTCTTCGTAAGTTCTATTTTCTTGAATTCAAACGTCCTTCCAGTCAATAAAGTGAGGCGCATCTGTCTCACATTTTTCTTAACATGGATACATGAAAGACATCATGTATTCTTGATAACTGACTTGGCAACGCAAGCTGATAAGCTACATTTCCAACGTATCGTGTTATTTCGAATGGTCCATTGTATTCGGGAGTCAACTTACCATTTTTTTCAAATCTAGATATTCCTTTTTTAGGGGATACTTTCAAGAATACATAATCATTCACTTGAAATTCCAAGGGCCTCCTTTGATCTGTATAACATTTTTGTCAACTTTGAGTCATGCGTAGCCAATCCCAAACTACTTGGATCTTTTCAGTGGTTTCTCAGACAATTTTTAGACCAAATAAAACGCTCTCACCAGCTTTAAGATGATCTACAAGGTCTTCTATACAAAGCCTCATATGGAGCCATGCTAATATTGCTTTGATAGCTATTGGTGTAAGCAAATTCTACTAGTTGAAGATGTTCATTCCAACTGCCCTTGAAATCTAGAGCGCAAGCTCGTAACATATCTTTAATATTTGGATCACCCTTTTAAATTGACCATTTGTTTGAGGATGGTAGGCAATATTGAAATGTAACTCGATTCCTATGACTTTTTGTAAACTCTGCCAAAATTGAGCCATAAAACGAATATCTCGATCTGGTATACTGATAACGGCATCTCATGTAACCTTACAATCTCTTGTTTATAAAAGTGACTTAATATGACTAGAGTATCAGTATTATTCATGGCTAAGAAATGAGTTGATTTGGTGAATCGATATATGTATACACATTTATTTATTTATAAGCATATTCATTCTTTATATGATTACAAAATTTCACCTAAATTATAGATATTTAACTCGTTTTGTCTGAAGAATCTATACTTGAGGTCCATTTGTTCATAAAAAAATTAATATTTATATAAATATATATATATATATTTAAAAAAATAAATTTCAATTATATAAAATCATAATTGATGACCTAATTAACGTGTTAATGATTAATTTATATATCCGGGTCGTCACATATACCATGTCTATATCCACAAATCAAAAATTTATATCGACGCATTATGATTTGATAAGTGAAAAAAAAACATAGGTCTAAGCACGCAGGCGGCAAACCTAATGATGGAAGTCCGGTGCCCACCTGGGCATTCATGAAAACATTACAAAATCAGTGTTTAGAAAATTCCCTGTCTCATTAATAGGGCCTCTCTCCTATAACATTACCATGAGGATTATACTCACAGATAATAAAAGTATCCCCACTATTGCATTTAATCTTAGCACACCCAACAATCTTCGTGCAACTCAATACAACTTGCGTGTAGTGCAAACAATCTTTACCAGGCATGCACGTATTATCGTTGTAGTTGTACTAAGCTTCTTGAGCAGCCCATGCTGCGACTGCATCGGATGGCTTCCACCTATTCCCTTTCCCCCAGAAGATGTTCTCGCCGTAGTTGCTGTCGGAATGAATCAATGCACAGTCCCCTCTCCTCCTATTAGCGTACCACTTGGCGTAGTTTGCCAGCTTGGTGCTCTATTGGAGAGATGGGAGGTTGTGTCTTGCCCGGACTACATTGTGTGCGTCGAGAAACTGTCTGATACTGAGTGTTGGATTTGAAAGGAAGACTCCTCGAGGGTTAGTTGATTTGACCGGCAGGAGGAGAAGAGAGAGAAAGAGGGCGTAGAAGAACATACATGGAAGGAGATTGGTGGTGTTGGCCATTGTGGAGGGTTTAGACGATGAAGAGTTGAAAATGGGGATAAGGGTTTATATAAAGTTCCATGGACTTTAAAGTATTAACTGATTTAGGAATGAATACTGATTCTTTCAATCCTTAGAGTATCTCATGCAGAATATCTTCTAAATTTAGATGTTCTAAATTTTAATATTGACAAGTCTTTAAGATTAGACCATAAATAATTTATATAGGACTCTCAAACTATGTACAACAATTGTATCAATTTAATTCTTGATTTTTTTTGTATTAATTAAGTCTCTGAACTATTTAATTATATTAATTAAACCTTTTGTCTGCCTCGACACAAAGTTACAGTTTGAGGGTCATATATGTAATGAGCAATGCTATTGAAATTTAATTTATTGACTTAATTCACTATAACATTTGGATTGACCGTGGACTCCATCAAACATTAAAATTTGATGTTAATCCAATGGTTCTAATGAAGTCAAGTCATTACGTCAACAAATTATGTCAGATTTTAGGTCCAAATAACATTCTCATATATGTAATTTATTCTAACCATTTTTATCACTCAGGTGGCACACTTCGTTATTTTTCATTAAAAAATCTAATGAATGTAGATAGAACGGCTCAATTGACACACAAAAAAAAAAAGATTTAGAAGTTTAATTGACACAAAAAATCATAATTTCAGAATTCACATGAACCTAATTTGATATGCTAAAGTAGCTAAATTACATTTTTCAGGAAATGCAAGCTTGGGAAAAAGACCATTGGGTAGCTTAGATAAGAAGAATTCACAGGAAAGTTCTAAGTTCGAACTTGCACTGAATACTCGAATATTTGACAAACATAGTTTAAAGGTGAAAAAATGCTATGTTTATTAAAACAAATTTTATCAAATTTTGCATCTCAAATGATATGATACAATTTTCATCATTGAATATTAACGGGATCTACTTAACTGATAGAAAAAAAAAAAAAAAAACTTTGCCATGTCATTTGGAATGAAAATTTGATAAATTTTTTTTGATAAGTATAGCATTACCCTTAAAGGTAACAGAGTATGTGTATTCTGAATTTATAATCAGATTACAAATTCAAATTAAATAGATTAAGACAATTTTTTATTGTAAAAATAAAATTTAACTGGCAGTCCTTGCTCGATTCACTTAAAGAGACATTTCATGTGGGGCACTTGTGTGACTCGTGTGTGGGACGATTTCCTTCCACTCTTTTAAGTCAGCTGATCATGATCTGATTTTTTTTTTTTGTAATGAATACTTTAATTTCAGCATGGATGACTTATTTTTGATCAAACTGAATAGGAGATTAATCAAAGTACACGTAAACTAACTCGAACATCTATGACCATACATTAAACTAAAAAAAAACTAAATGATCACTTTATGGTCTCAAGTTAGAAAAATTTATTTATGGAAGTGAAAGACTTAGACAATAAATGTATAACTAAAAATCATAAAACAAAAAGTTATATAAAATTTTAAATACTTATAGTGAGATTAGGATCTTTGAGGTTTATCCTTGATAGCCTCACTTATGGAGTAAATATAAAATATATAGATAACACCACGCTATCACCGTAACGAAATGTCACCATTAAAAAAATATTTAAATAGATAAAAATGGTCCTACTATTTACGAGGGATGATTATTAGCTTACATGGATGGGTAATTATTGAATATTTTGGGATTCACTTGTTCACTTATTTTTTTTATTAAATAATAATACCACGTGACAGTAATGACGTAATATAACCATTACATATAATTTTTTTTCCACAAAACTTGAAATAATAATATTAATTAGACTGAATTTACTGACTTAATCCATCACAATTATTGAATTGGTCGTAAGTCTCAATAAATATTAAAACTCACTGTCAATTCAATGATTATGAATGACAAAATTCACAAATTAGATCAATAAATTAGAGAAAAATTTAGAGGTCAGTCCCCCTTTGTAGACTTATTGTTGATAAGTTCATCAAGAAAGCTTGTTTAATATTAAATCTATTTTGATCTCTGTTATTCAAAATATCTCTAGTAGTTATATTTAATTAAAACAAATTTAAAAACTAACAACTTCTAAATTTTAGGAGTTTGACTAACATTAAAATTCTTTTTCTTATATCTATCTATATCTATATATAGAATATGACTATTTATTTTTTCCTCTCTTATATATATATATATACTAGTAATTATCCGTGTTTAAAAACACTATATAACAAATAAAAAATCACAAATAAATGTCCATCCTTCCCAACCTAATCTTTGTTTCTTCCTTGAACTTAGATGACTCAGCTGTTAATTATTTCTCAAATCAATGACACCCAATTTTCTTACTTAGTACATAATTAAATCAAAAAACATATAATAAACCAACTGCAATAATCATAAAATTTTCAAAGCCACAAAATTCACAGTCATACATTTTTAATTATGATATTTACCTAATATTTTATATCCGAATCTTATGTGAGATAACTTGTTTGTAGAATGAAAGCACCACGTGAAATTAGAATAAAAATAAATAACAGCTTTACATAATTTGAATCCAATAAAAATAACTATTGGATTGTAGTCTCTCTTTCGCAAAATGTGCTTCTATTGGCTTTGAAGAGAAAATCAAGCTCATGTTTGTATAGATAAGGAAATAAGAGATGCTTGGTCTGTCTACTAACAATGTAATCTTTCACTCTACATATCTACACTAAGATATGCAGATAGTAACTAACAAATCTATAATCAAAGAACAACTATCCAAAACAATTGTCAAAGCAATTAAGAGATCAATATAGTAATGTATTCTAACCAATTCAATCCATGGTTCTCTCCTATATCAAGCAAAACACGGCATCTACAGCAGCAAAATCACTTCAAGGTCGTCTTCTCTTCATCAAAGCATTTCCAGATCCTCAGGCATCTTCTCGAACCTTCGCTCCGCCCTTCATTTGATTCATTGTTGATTCCATTTTGCTTTTGGGTTTCGCCGGTTGGCTTTCCAACCCTGACTTAATTTTGTCTCTTAGTTCATGATCAGTCGGTTCCTTCATTTCCATATCATAATTCCTCTGCTTCTGCTTTTCAAATTCGAATTCCAACTGCTGACATATTTCCACGGCTTGTTTCGTCATCCGGGTAAGACGAACTTTCAGGAGATTGAGCTCAGTCTCAAGCTCACCTAATAATTTCAAGGCTTTTGTTCTTCATCCAACACCATATTAGAGATTGTTCATACCTGGAGGCACCATATAAAACAAAAAAAAATGCAATAACCCAAGTGAATAAGGACTAGTGAAATGAACAGTGGCGTGAAGTTGATTGTGACGTTGCAAAGTGAATGAGGACAAAATAATATAGTTGAACTAAAGAGGGATCCATTGACATTGCTTATCTGATTAAAGTAGCAACAATTGCACAAATACCTTAGTTTGTGACCCAAAGAGTAATTAACATAAAGAAACAAAACAATGAATATGTTTCATTGAAGCAAAAGGTTTGCATATGCTATTGTAAGTATCAAACTTTTCTCCACCCCACTCTGCCTTGTTCTATCTAATTAGTTCTATCCGCATATAAGTATCACATTGCAATGCAAGAACAAAAAAGAGAACAAAAAATCGAAAAGATCAACAACTGAAACACAAATACATCTCACAACCATGATTTTAGTAATCAAGAACATAGTTTTCAAGCCTACATTCATATTAATTGGCAGAAGTGAGTTCATTTGTCCTTACTTGAACCACATAAGCAATTGGTAGTGCCTCAAATGCAGCAACGATAGACAATCTACCAAAAACTTATACAAAAACATAAATGAACCCATCAATATAAAAAGCATGAACAACTCATACAACCCAACAATTGAATGTCAAAATCATCATTTTTTTTCAATTTCTTAGCAACCAAATATTGACATTGTCATAGTAACACTTTATTACACCAAATCATAACTTACCATCCATCAATTATGAACCAAAAAAAAAAAAATCTTCAAGCAATATCGTGCAAATTGGATTCCCAATACCACATGCGCTACAACAGTCAAACCTAAAATGCCAAACTGCATTGAAATGCATTAAAATAGTATCGTTGCATAATTAAAAATGCAATTATACTGGTAGGTGTGTCCCTAACAATGATCACAACAAGATTGAATGTAAGCAAAAAAAATCCATTGGAGTCGCATATAAAAAGAAAAGGCTGAATAAAAATCATGCTAATTATTCTGTATATGTAAGGATAATACTGCTACAAAAGAGACACATTGGGCTCGTTTGGTTACCGTATTAGAAATGGATGGATTAGATAGAGTAATCCAGTCTAATACAATACGGAAGGACAAAAGACAAGATTAAATAAGATATTAGAATAATACGTAATTTTATCTAGTGTTTGACGATACACAACATAAACGTTGGATAGTAGTTATTTAATCTAATCAGTTGTTTGATTAGGAAATTATTTCATCATATTAATATTGAATTAACAAAAATATCATTAATCAGTGTTTGTTATATTGATAACAACTTGATTTTATTAGTTAGGGTGTTATAACAGTATATGTGTAGAATAATACATTTGAGTTGGATTATAATACCATATCTTTTGGTGGTATTAAAATACCTCCATAATACAGGTCTATCATATAAAAAATATACAATTAATATACGTTTTTAAAATTAATACGGTATCAAATTTACTTACCAAACAAAGTATTAAGCTCGATTAAATAAAAAATAATACAATCCAATATTTAATCCCTTCATAATACGTCTACCAAACGAGCCCATTAGGTATAAAAGAATCAAAAAAAGCTCCTAACCTTCATTATCTTTATATCATGCAAGGTAACCCTACCAAAAAACATACTTGTTCAACCAAATTTCCAATTTAAAACCATAAAGCCATTTAAATGACTTCAATACAAACAAATAGAATTGCAATGTCAGCAAAAAAAATTACTGCTAGATCAAAAATCCAATTCATCATATACCCTAAAATTACCGAGATCCATCAAATGGGTTGGCACTGAGAGGTGAATAACTTTTTAAAAAGGAAATCCACATATTTTCTTGATAGCAAAATCAAAAACTCAATTCTTAAAACCACCCAGAATTAAAAACTCATAGGCTATGTTTGTCAAAGTTAAAAATTGAGCTTGTATTTTCTTTTCCAGAAGCAAACCAACAAACACTTTGAAATCATACATACAAAAGGGATGGAGGTGACGTGGGCAATGGTTGTGTCATGTGTGGTGGTGATGGCTATGCATATATGCGGTGGGCGATGGATAGGGTTGCTGATTTGGGTGTGGGTGGCTGTGGTCTGCTAGCAACTGGTAAAGAGAGAGAAAATGAGAGAGAGACTTATACCAGGATGGTGCTATGGCGGTGGCGCTGTGGCAACTGAGAGAGATGAATAGGTATGGGATAGATGTATTTCGGGTGCAATATAGAGTTTGAGAGATAGACCGAGAGACATAATAGGAATAGGAGAAAGACAACAGCGAGATGCATAGGGCTTAGAGAAAATATGTAGGAGGAGATGGTAGTCGTTTACATAGCATGGAAGGAGAGAGAGGAAGATTTGAGGGTAAGATATTAGGACATGAATTGGGGATTGCGTCTGATATAAATAGACATTGCATATAGAGGAGAGAGAGAGGCGTGAGTCAGGAAATGTTGTTGGGTAGGAAAACAAAATTTAGTACTCACTGTAGACCATTAGATCAAAATTTTTGAGATGGTTTAAATCGTCTTTTATGTTGGGATTACGTTGTCCGTTGAATGTGTTTATGTTTTATCTCAAAATGATCTGGACCTCTTTTTTGTCTTCAAAATTCTAACTCAGTTCTACTTTATTATGTAGATACATTAACATTAAAAAAATTATTAACATTTAAACACAAAAAATAGTATCATTCAAATACAAAAAATAGTACCATTTAAATATTAAAAAAGTAGTAACATTATAGACAAAAAAAATAATAACATTCAAAAATAAAAAAATAATAACATTGAATATTAATATTTTAAAAAATAACAGTAGTAACATAAACAGTAACATACCCAAACAAAACAATAATATGCTCATAAACATAGTAACATGAATAATAATATATATATATATATATATATATATAGAGAGAGAGAGAGAGAGAAAGAGAAAGAGAGTGAGTATCACTTGTTCTTTGAATTTAAATTTCAAATTTATGTAAAAAAATCTATTGACACATATTTTATTAATAGTGAATTAGAGGATAATAATTCTCAAGTTAGGAAACTAATTTAAAGTTTTTTTCAAGGAAGAGTATTTTGGAGGTTTAGAAAAATAGTAAACTTAACTACGTATTAGTAAGATTAAAAGCAGACTTATCTCCAAATAAGTTTCCTTAACAAACGAAACTTGTTATAAATCTATTATAATTCAACCCAATTTTCCCTAAATTAAATCCTAGCATTGTTCTAATTGAAAAGGGTGAAGGTGGAGAAAATCCATTCTAAAAATCAAAATAAGCCAACCCACAACCCACAAAAAATTGAATTGGACCTAACTCCTTTTGAGCTCAGCCCAAGTCAGATATGCTTATACATTTCAAGCATTTTTATTGATTTTTGATCTAAAATTAAGGGTGTTAAAATATGGAACGAGTGATTACCACGATATGAAATTAGAGAATTTTGATATATATTAATCCACCTGTTCTATAAACGAATGAACACGACATGATACAATTAATAAACGAATCACGTTTGGATAAAATTAATGAAAAGAAATACACGATATAACTTATTTATATATCAATTATACACGATTCATGTATGATACGAATTCGATATAATACAACTCGTTATATGAGAATTAATAAACGAATCGAGTATATTATGTTAAGACATGAACCAACTTCACCATATCGGTTGACTTGAAATGTAATATAGAGTCAGGTCATTAGGGATTTTTTCCTAGTGAATACTCTAATTTTCGTATGGATGACTTGCCTTTAATTGAATTGAAAACATATTAGTTAAGGTGCACTTAATCTGGTCTAGACAACTGTCGAATTAAAAAAAGAAAAAAAGAAATGTAATATGAGGTCAAGAGGATTTTTTGGCTAGGTGACGCCACGACAATCCTTTAAACCCCAAATATCATGGGAACGGCTCCTCTATGGTAAGGGATCAACTGCATAACACGTGGTTAAGTGGAACGACGTCGTTTTATGACATTTTTTTTTTTTGGAAAATCGTAGACCAAAACGACGCCGTTTTTGGTACACCAAACTAGACCCAACTTCGTTTAAAAAAACCCCCCAAAATGAACCAAAACCCTAAACAAAGATTCTGCTCTGCAACCCTAACACCAAGATCAACAACTTCCACACCAGCATCAAGTATTCTTCATGGGTTCTTTGATTGTTCAATTCGTGTGTGTGTGTGTGTGTATTGATCATAGTTCAATTAGTGTATTCAACTGCCCCTGATCAGTTGGCTAGTATAGTAGAGATGTTTGATTGTGATGCTTGAATCAGTTGGCAAGTTTGATTGTGATGCTTGAATATAGCAGAGATGCTTGAAAATGCCTTCAAAAATTTTTCTACACTTTTGTGGTTAGCTTGGGTAGTCCTCCATCTGCATTATCTCGTTCATGTTCTCTATCAATTAATGCTACCTCTAGTACTATTAGACGATGAATGAGTTTGGTTTACAAATAACTTCAGAGGCATGTATTATAACTAAGTGCACACAATTGGAATGTTCAATTAATTTGAATAAGTTGCTAAAATCATTCCACAAATCGAACAACAGATGGAAATTAAAACAGATATTCAAGATTTTATATAATGTCAGATTTAGTACAAGATTCAAACTATTAAATTATATATCTTTAGCCTGCTACATTGTTTGAACCATCTTGGTGCTTGTATCTTTGGTATCAGATATATCTTTACTACTGAATTTAACACTTGATCCTGGATAGGATCATGGTGTATGTAGTGGTCATGTTGGTTTGTGTTGCTGAATTGTAAAAACTGGGATGGTATGGAACACTGGATCAGTTCTATAAGGAGGAGGTTGTTTTGATAGAATGAGGAATGACTGTTTGGTAGTCTGTTTTGTCTGTGTAGTGCTGAGGATACTAAGATGGAATGAAGTTCAGAGGGTGCTAGGCTGATACTGGTCTGTTGATTTTGGACTTGGGCTTATGTTGATGACTGGGTAGTTGGAATGTGGAAAAGTTATATGGTTTGCATCCTTTTAAAGGATTAAAGCCAACTCTTGGTAAAGCAGATGTGTTGGAGTGAGTAATTGGTTTTCTACACTCTTTGCATTAGATTCAACTCAAGGATGATGTGTATAGAAGGAAGGTGCTGAGCAGGTTCTGTCTGCTGTGGTTGGATGATACTTTCATGTCTGCACTGGACTGATATTCTGTTTTGCATTGGACTGCATTTATCTCTGCAGTTTCTTCTAAGGAGTTGGTTTGCTGTTATGTGTTGGCCTAGAATTTCTGAATCAGGTTCCAGGTAGGAGCTTAGGTGTAGGATTAGAACACAGTTGCTGTACAGAATTTTTGATGACAGAATTAGTAACAAATTTTCTATTTTTTGTGTACAGTTTACTATTTTATATGGCCTATGAATCATGATTTAAGAGAATATCAAACTGTACGTTATGATTTTTTTATAATGTCCATTCATTCTGGCTTGTTGCACTTTGAATGTTTATATGCTTCATGTTTGATCAGGCTTGATCATTCACATCATGATCTATTTATATGCTTTATGCTCCCAACATCAAAATGCCAGAAGTTGATTTGTTGTTGTATTTGTTGAAATACCGCAATTGATTTGCAATATTCTGTGTATGTCCAACAACTTTCATCTATTACCTGATAGTTGATTCAAGCAATTCTACTTGGTTTAAGAATGACATTTTCAAGCACGGCAACAAACAACGAAGAGTTAACATATCGCAATAGCACTTGCCCCATTTATAGCAAAAGAGCGATTATCAAAGTTTTTGAATCTAAAAAAAATATTGGGAAGCTATATTGCAGATGTCCAAACGATTCCAGTCACTTTTTTAAGTGGATGACTCCTCTTACTCTCCCCTCTTCGAAAAGTACAAATAAAATGATGGATGTATGACGAATTGAAGATAATGTACGACGTGTTGAGGCTAAAGGAAGATCAATGAATCAAATATATTTGTAGTCACATTACTAGTGGTGATTCTTATATTTGTGATTTTAGTGAAATATAGCTGTAAGAGCAATGGTGTAGTGTTGAAACTTGTGTTGTGAATGAATTTGTGCGTTTAATTGAATGAAATTGAGTTTTGTATATTGTTGTGACTTGGAAGATCATATTCATAAAAAAAAGATCACATTCATTAAAAAGATCATATTCATAAAAAAAAGATTATATTCATTAAAAAAATCACATTCATTAGATCACATTCATAAAAAAAGATTACATTCATTAAAAATATCATCTTCATAAAAAAAAGATCACATTCATTAAAAATATAACAAGCATCCTTACAACTGCTAGTAGTCTCATTAAAAATAAATAGTTCGCAACAAAATGATCCAACTACTAGCCTCCATATGACTCCAAGCGTCCTTTTAACTACTGATCCTCTAAACATCTTTAAAAGTTGAATTCCCCATTCATGAAAAATGATTCAATATCATTTAAAGAATGCATATATGTTGAATCAGTCAGAGTACTCTACATTAATGAGAAGGAGTTAGACAAAGAAACTTGATACATATGTAAAACAATAAGATTAACAATAAGGTAACATACCATAACACTTTGTACACTATTTGAAACTTGAGAAGACATTGAATGACCATATGTTGATGTACACGGGTGACTAAAACCATGTACCTGGAATACAAAAATATTTACAATTATGTTTATAAAAATATAAAGTGAATAAAAATATGAAATGAATTTATATGATACCGTAGACATATGTGATGGTTGAGAAACTCCCTTTTTTCTCTTTGTTGTTTTCTCATGCCAAGATTTTAGTCGACCCCAACCCTTATAACCAACTTTTTTTCTTTTTAAACCTTTAACTTGGAGAAGGTCTGAGTCAACATTTCCTATTCCACTTGGGTCAACATTTTCATGGATTGGGTCAACATTTTCATGGATTGAATCATCGCCACCATCACCAATTGATGCATACATACTATCAACTTGTTTGAACAATTCCTCAACACCACGTGACACCAAATTAATATGCAGGTTGAAAACTAGATCATCGTGCAGCTAGTTGTACCATTTTAGGACAAAGCTGCATGTAACGTGACGCCACCATTAACTTGGGATTCTCTTCATTTGACATTAAAATAGGGGTTGTCCTATAACTCTTTCTTGCATCTCGTCTCCATCTCTTACATATGTATTGCTCAGAAATTTGCTTAATATTCATCATGTCCAAGACTTTAAGTGCATGACCACATAATATTCCCTCCATTTCAAACTTCTAACAACTACAATTAACTATCTCCTCATTAACCTTAACCAAGACCTAAGACTCTCTATATTCATCATATAATCGAACCACAAATTGATGCCACCCATTCAACACATCACATGGTGTCGCAAAAGCACATTGAAAGATATCATACTCCTCTTGGAACAGCTCAAACATAGTAGAAGTGTACACTTGTCCTTCTTGCATAGTAGAATTGGGAGTTTTTTTAACTTCAATTTAGGTAATTTTTGCCTAGCTTGGTATTCTGAGTCTGACTTATTTTACCACTTATCATTCACAACTCTTTCAAAATGCACAAAGAATTAAACAATGTCATAATCTGGCTTTAAATACTTCCGTAAGGCTGCATTCAAGCTCTTACTTAGTTTGGTGCTTCTCATTCCTCCAGTGAAATTCCTCTTCATATGCACATGCCCCCATTTCTCTCGCAATGTCCATGTGAATTTTATCCACATATTATCATGCAAATTATACTCTGCAAGCAACGATTCTCAAGTCTCAAATAATTCATGTTCTTCCTCATATCCATACACACACTCTTTAAATCGAGCAGGATATTATGAACCATCCTTATATATGTTTTCCAAATGTTTCAAAGCATTCTGGTAAAGGTGTCAAGTACATAACTCATGGTATGTCTCTGGCATCACTATAGAAATAGCCTTAGTCATCGCTTGATCTTGGTCCATGAAGATGGTAATAGGATATTTTTCAGACATAGCTTGTAGGAATATCTCAAACAACCACTGAAATGATGTTGTCATTTCATCATACAATAATGCAACTCCAAATAAGAAATGATTGAAACCAGTAAAACAAGCAAATGGTCGATACTCCTTGTTCGTTCTAAAAGTAGTGTCAAATGAGACAATATCTCCAAAGTTGCCATAGTTAATAATTATCGCTGGGTCGGCCCAAAAATTATTAGTAATATACTCCTCCGCATCCAATTGCACTCCATAATAGAATGATAGATTTTTAGCTATTTTTGCTTGAAAATACTTCAACAAACTACCCGCCTCACCATACCTCAAGTCTCGTTGCCTCCTTTCACGGAAATAATTATTTTGGTCTTGACCAGTAAAACCAAGACTTTCCTTTCCTCCAAACTAAGTACTTAAAAGTTTATAGTAAGTCTTTAGTGACAATCTACAATTCGCTATCATATCAATATTAATGTTTTGTGCTCCAGTAACCTTCCGTTGGGATGACATCATATGCATACATTCAACAAAGTGCAAAAGATGGTTGTGGTTGTCGTCCCACTTTACCACAACAAATTTATCAATTTCTCTATTAAGAGATATGCACGTATGAGCTTGACAATTTGTTCGTGTCTCTGCTCAAGGCTTCCTTATTTGCCACTCTCTTTTATTACGAACCCTTTGACCTTGTTTACAATAAACATATTTTCTGTAAATGACAACGCCATCTTTCAAACTTTTATTTTGAAAATCTTTTCTCACGCTAAATCCCACAAATTCTCCATAACTATTGTAAAACGCATAAGCATCTTCCTCCGCATCAAATTGCATACCAATATGAGGTATATTCTCAGTCGTATTAACTCGCAAATCATCCATCATAGTATCCTACAATAAAAAATTTAATTGAATAAGATTGTCTGTTGTGAATGAAACACATACTATATGTATGAAATTCAAAAAAAAAACAAAAATCAAACTACCAGTACAACATTCAAATGCAGAATATAAACTCCCAGCATTCACATTAACTCCCAACATTCACATTGACTCCCAGAAATGCAGAATATAAACATTCTTTTAAATATAATTTGTCATTAATTAACTCAGTAGTCATTAAATTTAAAGGCACATGACATAATCCATCTGGAAAAATGCTTGACTACTTTAAAGATAAATTTGTAGGCAAGCATAACTTTGGCATAAAATACACACCCAATACATTCAAATGAAATTTTTATAGGAATACAATGAATATGAGCAAAAATATGAGTTGTACACATATTTATGATGCAGTTGATTGGACTAAACAACAAACAACAAAGAAAGCTTCAACACAAAGGTAATTTAACCAAAACCTTACTCTCTTATTTCGCCAAGGCCCAACTCTATTCTCTGTCCAAGTACACCTCTAAGAAAGCTTCAACACAGACAGAAACTCTCGGAACTGGAAACCGTAGCATCAAGTACCTCAAGGCCCAACTCCTCAAATGCTTCAAGTTTTCATTATGCTTAGTTCGACCGAGTTGAGGAAAAAGAAGGTGGGAGAAGCAGAAAGCGGGGAAAAAGGGAGAATGCAGATCTTGAATTTGAAGGATCAAAACCACATCGTTTTGGTAAGGGTGAATAAAAAAAAATTTGAAAAATTAAGTGAAACGTTGCCGTTCTACTTAACCGCATGTCATGCAGTTGATTTTTGACTTGAAATTAAGGATGTTAAAATATGGAACGAGTGATTACCACGATATGAAATTAGAGAATTTTGATATATATTAATCCACCTGTTCCATAAATGAACGACCACGACACGATACAATTAATAAACGAATCACGTTTGGATAAAGTTAATGAAAAGAAATACACGATATAACTTATTTATGTATTTATTATATACGATTCATGTATGATATGAATTCGATATAATACGACTCGTTATACGTAAATTAATAAACGAATCGAGTATATTATGTTAAAACACGAACCAACTTCACCATATCGGTCTACTTGAAATGTAATATTGAGTTAGGTCATTAGGGATTTTTTCGTAGTGAATACTCTAATCTTGTTATGGATGACTTGTTTTTGATTGAATTGAAAACATATTAGTTAAGATGTACGTAATCTGGTCCAGACATATGTTGAATTAAAAAAAAAAGAAATGTAATATGAGGTAAGGAGGTTTTTTTTGGCTGGCGACGCCACTGCAATCCCTTAAACCCCAAATATCCTTCAAGCTCCAAACCACAAAACCCTTCTTTCTCTGCATTTCAATGGCCATTCCTATGTAACAACACCACCACTTCTCTGAACTTCAAAGCTCCAACAAACAAAACCCATGGTTTTCCTCAGAACCCTCCGTTCTTACAATTTATACACTCTCCTCAAACTCCAAAACCCTTCTCAATTACCCCATACCTATCTACATACCCCTTTCATACCAACTCATCCAATTATTTCGATTTCCCCTCGATCTTTACTACTTTCGTCAATTTTTCAAAGACCCATTTCGCTTTTTGCTCGGTTCGAACAGAAAGTGGACGCTGATTTGATTGATTCAGAATATGTGAAAGAACAGAGAAAGGAGGGGACAAAGAAGCGACTGGATATCCTTTTCAAAGAAGCAGTTGGATTGGCTGAAAAGCTCGAACGCAGCGACAGCGAAGACAAAAGTGAAAGTGACAGTGAAACCAAAGATTTGAAGAAGAAATTGAGGGCATTGGAGGTAGACGTGAGGACTTTGAAAGAGAATAAATTGAGGAACTTGAAAGAGAACAGTAAGGAGATAGAAAAATTGAAGAAGAAACCCAAGATCGATGATGAAGAATTGAAGGGTGAGACTAAGCCTAGGCGCTTATATGCATTGTTTACGCATAATGAGGATGCTAGTCGCAAAAAATCTGGGGAATCGGAGGCTATGAGAATGGAGGACCCAAAAGTATACAAAGAGCTTTCACCTGATATGGTTTTGTTTGTGAGACATTTGTACGATGAAGGGTACTTTAAGGATGCAAACTTCTTGCCTAGGAATAAGTTTGATGTCACTTGTTTCGAGAACAGTTATGGCCGCGATTTTATTAAGTTTGCGGCTGAGAAGTTTGGCAAGGACCACCAGGAAATTGCAAAGTGAGGAATACTCTTCTGCTTTGTCATTGCCTTAAATCATATAATTGTCAAATTCATTGTATTGAGGGCATTCTCTGGCACATTAACATACCACTCTTCATGGGTTGAGGTTGAACTTTTGTGTTCTTCAGTGTAGAAGTTTGATATTTGTGTTAAGCTCCATATGTAGCTGTGATTTGGTACTTGCAACCATGAAGTAAGCCCATCAAATATTTGTAATTTAAATATTCCTAAATAGCTTCGGCTTTGGAAAACTTGAATATGGACGAATGAGAGGCTTACCTATAAATGGTAGGTCTCACTTGAATTTATGATAGATGATCTACTATTGGGTAAAACTGACTGAAAGTACAAGGGAGTGTATCTTAATCCAGAAAACTTGTATAGGCTGATGAGAAGTTCAGGTTGATTATGCTTAAAGATAAATTATGTCGATTAATCAGTATATAGTTCTATTACCTGCTAGAGTCAGGGGCTATTTGTTGTTTGCACAAACTGCGCTATAAGAAATGTGAGAGAAGATTTCCATTTTGGGAACTAGTCTTTGGGAAGGACTTTATTTGGATAATGGAGAAATGGATAAATAAATGTAGAAATGCTTTTCCATCCCTGAGATATCAAGACCTAGAGGATGTATGTTTTTCTCTCCAACCTGGTAGTTGTTCTCCCACAAATATTAGGTTCAATCAACCTGTACTCCTAACAAACCTTTGTTGAGGTTCCACGCATCTATAAGTTGCTTGTACAAGGTTTGTCATTGTCATCCAGTGAATTGTAACTAGTACAGGAGAGGATAAACAGAATTGCTGAAGAATAATCACCTTCCTGGAAAAATGGAATCTCATATATATTGTCGACTTTCATGGGGTAATGAACTCTCCTGTTAAGTTTTATGTGGCATGTGTTTAGCTAATTTTTGGTTCAGAGTGATGCATGGGTGGTATACATCTTTCAAAAACAAAAAAAGAAGTTATTTATGCAAAAGAAATAATATGCTTGAAGTTTTTGTCAATGGTGTCGGAACTAAAAAGAAAATAATAATGGCAAGGAAATTTTGACTGATCGATCAATTTTGTAAGACAGTAAGAGTATGAGTTGGCCTGTCTGTGCATCCAAGAATGGATCACTAATGGGGAAAAGAAACAAGTTGGTAAAGTTGTGGGCTGGAAAGAAGAGCAAGACAGTTGGTTAAACTAATATGCGAGTAGCATGAAGATTTCCAGCAGCATCTATGCATGTTTTTGCTTGTTTAGAATTGCCTATGCAATATAGTGCACTTCATAGTGTATGTCTCCATGAACGTATTCATGCGTAAAACATTAGAAAATGTGTGTTTCTATGTGCACTTCTTTATGACCAAAAAAAAAATGTGCATTTCTTTATGACCAAAAAAAAAAATGTGCACTTCTTTAGTTTTGTTCGATTTAGTATGGTTGTTCCACTTGCATCTGGTTTTCATTTTCTGCTGAGTTGCCTTGCTTATCTTATCTTAATCTTGCGAGCTTAAATTTTGGTTTCTCAGATGGTTGTCCGGCAGTGACTTAAAAAAGGTGGCCCTGGTTGGTTGCCCTTCTCTTGCGAGGAAAAATATATTTTCTGCTAAAAGATTGCGGACATTTTTTGCAATTCAGGAAAACAATGTAAGTCAACTGTTCCACTGAAATTTTGCCCTCTCCATCGTCTATTGATTACTGCCCATACTTGAATAACATAGCATGATGCTTTTTCTTTGTTCTGAATTCTTCACACGCTCACATTCAGGTTTGCAGCAAATGCATCTTGAAACACTCATGCAAGTTTGTGAATCAGAGTGTATGGAGAGGTGACACCAAGACTTTGAATTTGGCAGTTGTAATGAGGGTTATTACTTTGTATGCGTTGGAGTTGGTACCTCCACAGTTGGTAGTGCCGGATGAAGTAAAGGCTTCTGTTAGTCGACTGCTGAAGGAGGTTGTAAGTCTTGGTCAAACTGTTTCATAAGCTTCATCAGGATCTCACACAGCTGTGTCTCAGGTAATTTAAGGCTGATTCTTTTCAAGATTCTTTTCAAGACTGCTATGCTCCCTGATCATTTTGCTGGCTGCCAGGAAGATTCATCTCTCATGTCATGCTTACACGCTCGGATGCATGGATCCAACAATATATCTGAGATTGCCAGAATGGTGGGTGGTCGGGTGGAACGATGATGAAATTAGTGCTGGAAATTGCCTTAGTGGTCTATGAATGGTGAATTGGTCGGTCACATTCCTTGCTGTAGATGCAAAAAAGGAACTTTCCCATGTCAATTGGTTAGTCTCACTATGAATAGGCTATTCAATAAACTTTGTATGTAATTTCTGGGCAAATTTATATGAGCTCAGATGTTTACGTTAACTCTTTTCAATCAATCTTTCAGTGAATTGAAACGAACCCAATGATCGGTTTTCCAGATAGATTATTCAAACTGCTCTTCATTGGTTTGCTGGAGTCGATTTGTGAACAAGTTCTTTGGCTGCCCGTGCTTTTTGTTAAGTGGTAATGTTCCTCCGGCTTGTTAAGTTAGCTGGTTTATGTAATTTATTTGAGAAAAGCAAAGTTTCATTAATGCCATCGATCTGTTCTTGGCCCTTTTGTATCATCGTACTGAATTGCAGTAGTGTTGTTTCGCATGGACCAAACTCCAATTCTCATCAGTCTTTTCTCCCTAAATTAAGAGTTAATGTGTGGATTGTCTAACCCCCGTTTCAGTATAAGAATACTACAGAAAGCCAACGCACAAAAGGGGTGACCTTGGTTGCGGCATTCAAATATAAAATTATCGATTACACGTTGTTTGGACACAAAATATTAAATCCTAGGAATATTTAGCATATTGACACAGTTAGAGGTGTCAAATGTGTCGCGTTAAACGGATACGTCTTGGGTTAAATTGGTGACGGGTAAAAAATATGTAAACCCGTACACGACACATTTAATAAATGGGTGAAAAATCTCAACACAAACACAACTCATTTATGGTAACACAACACGATTCGTTTAACCTGTTTAATTTTAAAAAAATTATATTAACAAATTTTAATATTCTATTTTTTTTATTCTATTTTTCTTATTGACAACTATACTTACCTCAAAAAAAAAAGAATTTTTAATCAAATCTTATATAAAAATCAAACTTGAAAGTTAAAAAAAAATAGACAAGAAACCAGTGTTTTTTATAGGTAAGTTAGTCCTCCCCATCTCCGCTCATTTGCCGATGTGGGACAAAAATAAAGGACATTGGTTTGTCTTTATCTTTGAGTTGCTCTCCATCTCCCCACCTTTCTCTTTGTCTTTAAACTACTGTTTTACTCTTTTTTTGAATGTTTTTATTTCTTTTTTTTTTAACTAAATTTTTTAAATAATTATTAATTTATTATTATATTAATTTTATTTAAATGAGTAAACGTGTGATAGGTCTCACTTGAACACGACCCGTTTATTAAACGTGTCTGACGGGTTAACCCGTTTACCACCTAAACTCGTTAAAATCTCAACCAAACTCGTTTAATTCATATTGATTAATCGTGTCGTGTCAAATTTTGACAGACTTATTAAAACTTGACATTCTAGAGTTACTGTGGAAGTGTGACGTAGCATAATCTGGAAAAGGAAGAGTGATGATTAGCCATATTCATATTTAAAAATGAAGAAACAACTAATTGGGAGTTACTAGTCAGTAACTGTCGATAGAAGTAGAAACGTCGAAAAAAATGGTTATAAAAAGATATGTAGGAGAAAAAATGAATGATACATTGAAACTTCTAAAAGACCCACGATCTACACATTATTAAGAGTAGTATTAAATTAATTTTAGAAGGTAGTTAATGTTAAAATCAAGATTGTTTTTTCAATTTTTTTTTGTAATCAAAATCTTTTCGATCGAATTAATAAAGGAATTTCCTTTTATTAGTTATCTAATTGTTTATTGTTTTTGTTGGAGTATTTTAATAATAATAAAAAGGAAAATTTTCATCCACGTTTCCTTTAATTAGGTCTAAATTCAATAACATTTCCTCTCAATTCTAAAACTTTACTGTACTCCCTTATGGTTTATACTTTCAAATCAAAGGGACCCTTTAATGGTAATTTCTAACGATTTGATTATATATTTTCTAAAAATGACAAAACTATCATTTGTTATATATATAGACTAAAATGCCCTCAACACTATCCCCATTACATATTGGAAAATTTTCATCTATAATTTGTAGTTAGGTCTAAATTCAATGACACTCCTTCACGATTCTAAAATTTTACTGCATACCCTTCTGGTTATATTTCAAATCAATGACATTTTCTTAATCGTAACTTTTGTCTCTACTAGTAAATAAAGTAATGATTTGATTAAATATTTTGTAAAAATATCAAAATTATATTTTATTATGTAAATGGACTAAAATCCCACAATATTTGTCCCATTATATATATATATGTCTTAGCCAACTAGTAAAGGTCATTTTTATTATTATATTATTACAATGAATTTTTATCATTTTAAAGTGTTGCATGACAACTTTGTTATAATATTAGTCATCATATTATCACTTATTTGGTTACATAATCGATTTTTTATAATTTTTATAGTTAAAAATAATTTTCTATAATAAAAATTACAATCAATAAAATCAATGTTAAAATCTCATCAATTTCTAACTCCTCTACTATTGTCAATCCTTCACAACGTCATCTAACCACTCTTCACACATAACCCATATAAAATTTAAAATATTATTTGATTAAATTTTAATATTAATTGAATAAATTTAATCTTAATTTGATAATTTAAATATTAATTGTTGTTAATTTGATAAAATTAAATATTAATTTAATGTTAATTTGATAAAACTTAATGTTAATTGAATAAATTTAAATGTTACTTTAATAAAATTGAATGTTCATTTGGTGTTAAATTAAACAACTGACATTAATT